TCTACCTCTTCTCACTTTCCGGACTTTTCCGATTTGTGCATCTCTTTCCTAGTCGACCTTATGCTCAAAGTATTAGAACGTATTCTCATTGAGTCTGACGGTCATGCTAAGGCGTGCACTGATTCAATTTACAGTGTGACAAGTTCTGCAAGCAAAAGCCATGATTAAATTTGACTTGACAGCTTAGCATATTGTACATCGATTTATTCAGGGTGTAACCATCCTGGTTGATGTCGTTGCAGGCTTCGCACATCCAAGAATACGTTGCAACGCGAAAAGTCAAGTAACTTACTAAGTTTCATTAACGATTACATTGTTTAGGTATTACCGACAAAACACTGGACACTAGAATGGCCGTTTCTGGTTCATTAGCCATCGTCAGCTAGAAATACGCAAATCCAGTGTTGCCGCTGAACTTGCTTTCACACTCGGGTTTCGAGGGTCAAACTTAGCATACTTTTGGGCACGTTATTTTGATCGACTGGGTGGATTTAATCCTAAGAAAGCCTTTCAGTTAGGAAATCTACATCTTAAGTTCAGTTTGTTAAGGGTTACAGGCGTTAATTTTGGCTAATCGCGATTAGTCTAATATCGAAGCAAGTTCTCATGCTATTAAGTAATACATAAGCAAATTTTTTATTCATATCCGTTATGCTATGGGAGAACCTTTAAAAAAATAAAATTGTAAAACATTCAATTCATAAACCAAAAAATATATTCAAAAATACCTTAAATGCAAGCGAAACCAATTTTAAGAGGTCGCATTTATTTTCAGAAACCAGAAACAAAATGCAGTAGCAAAGAGGCTTCCGATGCATTTGTTAGCGCATGAAGTATTTGGGACGCAATCAAAACTGCCCACATATGTTATTGTGAAGGCGATGATCCTACTTAACCTTAATCATGAAGAGATAAACTTTTTACCTTGTAATTTCCGCTTATGCGTAATTTAGAAACGGAACAGACAGAAAATTATTAATAATAATATCCTAGTGGAAATTTGGCCACTCTTTTTTGCATTCGCAAGCTTAGAAAAAAGCCTGCAAGTCATCCATCATGGCAGAAAATATTCCAATATAAAGAGA